TCTTGCTCACACGTAACATAGTATCTGCTGATCTGTTATTGGAAGCCGCCAGATTATTTAGACACTACTCATGGTAGATGGCGATATTGTTTATATTTCTTTCGAGTCTCTTTTTTTGGGATAGTACATTCTTGCTCCTGTTTTAGGCTAAAAAAGTAGTGTATTAAAAGTATGTAAAATTTTGAAGAAAATTTATTTACTCACTAAATATTTTTTGACTGTAATATTGTAGAAATGGAAGGTTGGATATTATCCATAGAAATAGAAGGTGGATAATCAGCAGTCGAAGTGGAAGTTGGATAATCAGCAGTCGAAGTGGAAGATGAAAAATTAGCACTCACAGTGGAATGTGTATCACCAAAAGAAGTAGATGTAATTATCTAAAATAATTTTAATATTTTCAACCTAAAACAATTTAGTGTCACATTATTGTAATAATTAAAATAGTTTAAATGGTATAAAATAAATTATATTAGAATGTCGCATCATGTCAACTTAGCACTCAACTTTCTAAAGTTCTTTGTCTAGAAGAATTGTTAGGTTATATTACTTTTTCATGACTAAAAAATCTACAACCTTCTATTTTTTTGTAAAATAGGGCGACCCTGTTTGTGTATGTATTTAGTTTTTAAACTTTTATTTATTACAACAGATTTGCTTGATAAAACTACTAGATGAATAATTACTTTCACTACTTAGACTTAAATTATTATCTTCAGGCAATTCTGAAGCAAGAAACTTAGTTTCACTACAATTTTTTTTTGTTAGTGAAACATTGTCACTACTTAAACCTAAATATACATAATCTTTACATAGTAAATGGTCACTTTTAACATATTCAAAGTTTTTTTTATTAATTTGAGGTTTAAATATATTTAAAAATTTACGATTTCTAACTAAAATTGAACCATCTTCTGTGCGAATTTTATAAGATCTAATACCGACCTTATCTAAAATAAAACCCCTTTTTCAAATCTGGGAATAGTCTTTTTTATACAAAATACAATCATTAACATTTAATTCTGGCAAAGTTTTAACTCCTCTTTTGTCAAAATAATACTGTTGTTTATTTTTAGAAACATCTAAATGTTTGTTATATTTAACTACAAACTTAGACGTAGGTTGTAAAAATGGCTTTGGCAAGAGGTCCCGAAGTGATCTATGCATTAATAAATTTGCTGGTGAAGATTCTCTATTTAAAGGAGTATTATTAAAATTCAGTAGAGTCAAATAGGGATTTCTATTTTCATGTTTACATTTTTTAAGTAATTTTTTGATAGAGTTTTTTCGACCTGGCCATAAAAAGTTGGATATCTCGGAGAACTTTCTACATGAGAAAATTGCCACTTTTGAGAAAAGTCTTTAAATAAATTACTCGAAAATGCAGGTCCTCCATCAGAACATACCATGCCTTGCAAAAACTGATTTTAAATTTAATATTACTTTATAACTAGTAAGATCTCTACCTAAATTACATAATTCTACAAATTTTGAATAGTAATCAACGCTTAGTAAAAACGATTGAACTTCTAGATGAAATATATCACATACGACCTTTTGCCAAGCTAATTTTGGGATTTCGTGGGGATCAACGGCTCGAATTGATTATCTTTATCATAAATTTGACATGTTTCACAAGACAACACCAACGCCAGTAAAAAGATAAATTTGCCTTTTTCATACACTTATTAACACCAAAATGTGAATTAAAATGAAGCTTATATAGCATACCTTGCCTTGCACATTTAGGTACTATTAATCTTTGGCCAACCTTCTAATATATATTTCTTTAAAAGTTGCAAATCTAAATCTAATTTTGTTTGGCTAACAAGTTCTTCAACTCTTTTATCAGTTGCATTTAAAAAATATGCAACTAAACCATTTTGAGCTTCCACCTCAAAAATAATATTTTCATTATAATTTTTATTTTCATAAGCTCGGCTGAGAGTATCTGCAACAACTACTTTTTTACCAAGTTTATATACTAAATTAAAGTAAAATTTTCTAAATTGCAAAATTATTCTTTGCAATCTTAATGGACATGAACTGATATATTTTTTAAAAATGTGAATAAGTGGCATGTGATCTGTTTCTACAGTAAAATTATTTAAACTAAATACATATTGATAAAAACGCTCACAACCAAACCATACTGTTAGACATTCTTTTTCAATCTGTGAGTAGTAAAGCCCCCATTCCATCTGTCGATAAATCAACTGAAATTACGATAGGCTTTTTTGGATTAAAAAATTTAAGACAAGGTGTCTCGCATAATTTTTTTTTTAATTTTGAAAAGCAATCTTAAAGGTGCTGTTCTTTTTGACAATTTTTCTACGAAACGGCCTAAATATGTCACTAAACCTAAAAACCTTTGCACCCCTTGAACGTTTTTAGGTTGAGGCTTGTTTTTAATGTCACCTTACTTTCACCAAGTGTCATACCCTCGTAGAAAATTTTATGTCCTAAATAAATGACTTCGGTCATACAAAATTTACATTTTCTTTCATTTTTTTTTAAATTATACTTACAAATTAAAAAACAAATTTCATTACATATCAAGATCCTTTGAAATGGCTTCATTTACTAGTGAATATAATTTAGAGGTGGGCGATTCGATTCAATTTGGAGATCCGTATCAATTCGAAATAAAAAAGATTCGTATCAAATGATTCGTATATCGATACTAAAGATATTTTGTTGTCGTAAAAAGTAAATACACAGCGCAGAGCAGTGCGGTGCGTTTTTAAACTTGTAAGTGAGTGGTATTTTTTTACAGTAATGAAGATAATATTCCTTGTTATATAATGTTATATAATGTTCCTTGTTATATCCTAAAAGCTTGTAAAGATTATTTAATATACCCTTTGCTGGTAATTTTTAATAAGTCGCTTAAAACATCCATATTTCCTAGTGAATTTAAAAGAACGAGATTAACACCAATTTTTAAAAAAGGGGATAAAAATAAAATAGATAATTATCGTCCCATAGCCATATTAAATTGTACGGCGAAACTGTTTGAATTTGTAATATATGATAAACTGTATGCTTACTTTCAAAAATACATATCAACCGAACAACACGGATTTTGTCGTAAAAAATCTGTAGATACAAATTTATTAACTTTCAGTGATAAAATATCAAAATGTGTCAATTCTCGTGAGCAAGTAGATTGTATTTATACTGATTTTAAGAAAGCCTTCGATAAGGTAAATCACAATATTCTTCTAGCTAAACTGAAATATTATGGTCTTAGCGATCATCTAATAAATTTCTTTATGTCTTATCTAAAACTAAGGTATCAATACGTAATGTTTGGTGGTGAAGTATCTCATACAATCCTCGCAGGCTCTGGGGTCCCTCAGGGCTCCAATTTGGGTCCTCTACTTTTCTTAATATTTGTTAATGACCTTCCTCTACGTATTACATCAGACTGCCTAATGTATGCAGATGATCTGAAAGTTTTTAAGAAAATATCCACCCTAGATGACTATCTAGACCTTCAAAATGACTTAGACTCAATTTCGGATTGGTCATTTGAAAATAAATTACATTTTAATCTTTCCAAATGCAAGGTTATTACATTCAGTAACATTCGTAATCCTCAAAATTTTATCTACACAATGCAAGGATCAACACTAGAAAGAGTGTCAAAAATGACCGACTTGGGAATAGTTTTTCAAAATAATTTCAAATTTGACGAGCATATCCATAACATTACCAAAGAAGCTAACAAATTGTTAGGTTTTTTAAAACGCACGACTAGGGACTTTACAGACACACACTCGATTAAAAATGTATTTTTTGCTCTCGTTCGTAGTAAATTAGAATATGCATCCACTGTATGGGACCCTACACAACAAAATTTAAAACACATTTTGGAAACTATTCAAAATAAATTTGTCAAATATTTATACTTTAAAAAGTATCATACAAGTCCAGGATTTGTTTCATTTGGACCTATTAGAAAAGAGTTTGAAATTGAAAAATTGGAACATAGACGCTCTATAATCAACCTTATCTTTTTACATAAATTATTAAATGGATATTTGGACAGTCAATATTTATTGAGTCAAATAAAAATTAATGTTCCAATAGCAGGTATTCGTCCACGTCAATTAACTTTTCGTGCGGATAATCATGGTCCAGTAGAAAAAATTTGTCTTTTGTTTAATGTACACTCCGAAGGCATTTCTTGCGGTATTTTTGATGTAGCTATAAGCACATATAGAAAGGAACTTAACAAAATTGTTGGGCTCGATTAAAGAGATATAACCTTGTAGGATTTCCGTGGCCTTGGTGTGGGGTTTTGCAGACGCTCTGATTATTCCTGAATATTTCTGATTATTTCAGTAGTTTTGTTCTTTAACGAACTTTGTTAAAATTTTGTAGTAGCGAGGTTTGTTTATTATAATTTCACTTATATATTTAATTAGATATTATGTATTTTTGTTGATTTATATTTTCGCTGTATTTATAGGAACATGTAATTAGGCTCATGCCTGTTTGTTTCTGGAATAAATAAATAAATAAATAAATAAATAAATAAATAAATAAATAAATAAATAAATAAATAAATAAATGAAAAGTTTTGTATGGGACCACTTTATTAAAATATCAGACATTATTGCAAAATGTAAATACTGTTTAAAGACATATTCAATAAAAGGGGGATCTACGGCAAATTTAATTAGGCATATACGAACAATACATTCTACCGTGGTAATGCAAGAATAACATATAGCTGAAGTCGAAACAGCAGAAACTGAACAGTCAACTGAAGACTCAATAATTAAAAATAATGAAGCTCCGTTAACTTCTAGGCAATCGCAAACAAACACCTAACAAATAAAACGAAAGTTTAATAAATAACCGATTATGTTCTTCAACCAGTACCACAAAGAAAAAAAAGAAAAATTGACTTACAGGTAGCTAAAATGATTGCTGTTCACTACCAGCCATTTAGTATCGTAGAAGACGTAGAATTTGTAAATTTAATAAACATGCTGAACCCGTCTTACGATTTGCCTAGCAGAAAAGTTATATCAAATAATTTAATTCCGCAATTGTATACTTCTGCTGTTCAAGAAATAAAAAAGCAATTAGAAATTCCTGAAGCAGTTACATTAACTACGGATGGATGGACGTCTATAAACAATGAGGGATTTTTGGCCATAACCGCTCATTTTATTGATGAGAATTGTTTAATGAAAGCATTTTTATTAGATTGCTTCATCTATTCAGAGCGACACACGGCAGTAAATCTTGCCAGTGAAATTAAAAGGGTTCTTCTAGAATGGAATATACAAGAAAGTCGTAGCTATTGTAACAGATAATGCGGCAAATATAACAGCTGCTGTCCGTACAACTAGGTGGAAACATGTTCCATGCTACGCTCACACACTAAATTTAATTGTCTAAGCCGCCCTTAAAGAAATTGAAAAAGTCGATACAAAAGTTAAGGACATAGTCGGTTATTTTAAAAGAAGTCCTCAAGCTATGGCGAAACTCAAAGATGTACAGAAACAAATGGGTATTAGCCGGCCATACACATAGCGTCTTGGAGAAGGTTTTAGCATGGCCCATGCAAAGCATGTGAGCCAAGTCTGTGGCGAGCCAAGAACGCTGTTGCCCACAAACAAATGCATTGAATAGCAATGCTTTGATGAAAGACTTTGACGTACATACCAAGAGTGTGTAATTATGGACATAAATATTGACATACTTGAGCAAAATTAGCGCGAGCCTGGATTTCAAACGTGTTTGATATTTCTAGTGCGGCTCGCCGGGACGAAGTCAGAAAAAATGAACAAAAAAAGAAAATTATAGCAATGGCTGCAATATATATTGGAATAATAGATAAAGGAAAAAATAGAAGAAAATGGGAAAAAACTGGCTAAAAAAAAGGAAAAAATACACCCACTTAAATCTGCTACGTGAATTGCGGCTAAACGACCCAGATGATTTCAAGAATTATTTAAGAATGGATTGTAAAACTTTTAATGAATTGTTAGATATTTTAAAGCCGTATCTGATTAGACAAGATACACCAATGAGAAGATCTGTATCAGCTGAAGCTCGGTTGAGTGCAACGCTTAGGTTTCTAGCAACAGGCCGTAACTACGAAGATTTAAAATTTAGTACCGCAATTTCCGCCCAAGCTTTGGGATATATTATTCCGGAAACATGTAGATCTATATATGAGTGTTTAAAGAAATAATACATGAAGGTAAGTTCCCATTAATTTTTTTATTTATTTTTGTTTATCGTAAACGTAATATATATTCTTTAATGAACAGAAAATAAAGTAATAAGAGAACAGCATTATGTTATAAAAGAAAACCTAAAAAAATTTAAAGTTATGAAAATATATTCCGGCACCTGTCGACAGGTCTGGTGATGGTTCTGGAGTTGAAGTAAATACACTACTTGCAGAACTTGATGCCATAGGAATGTTAACTTGTCGCATGTATGGTGGAACACTATTTTCGCCAAGATTTTTGGTAATACTAACATTGTCAGTCAGTCGGTTTAATTGTCCTTTGAATAATATCTGGTTTATTAAATTTTCTGCATATATCTGTAGTGTTTCGTTCATTTTCTTCAATTTTGCTGCTACATGACTACCAAATAGTTGATGCTCATCTTCTTTTTTGTTTAAGTTTTCGACGCATGTTCTCATAAAGGCCGATTTATCGTCTTTTAAACTTTTAAATTTTTTGAGCGTGAATTTGTTATGAATCTGCTGTTGACAGTCCCATTTTTGGGATCGGAAGTCTGAAAAGAAAAAAGTTTCAAAATTAGATAATTTTATGCCTAGTAGTTTTTTAAGACATTTTACCATAAACACTTTTTTTAGTTTCCGTGCAACAAAGAAGAATGGAAGTGCATATTTAAAGATTTTAAAGACCGCTGGCAAATACCTAATTGTGGAGGAGCATTAGACGGAAAGCATATCAGAATTCAGCCACCACCTGGTACTGGCGCTATGTATTACAACTACAAAGGATTTTATAGCATAGTGCTTATGGCATTAGTCAACGCTAAAGGAGAATTTATTTTTGTTGATGTTGGTAAAAATGGAAGGCTTTCAGATGGAGGAGTAATAGAATATACCCGGTTCTATGAAAAACTGAAAAATAATGCTCTTAATTTGCCCGACAATGTTGAAAATGAATATGGTTTAAATTCAATATTTATAGGAGACGAAGCATTTGCATTACACAAGCATATATTAAAACCATTTCCTCAGAGAGATCTTACATATAACAGGCGGATATTTAATTATAGACTATCTAGAAGAAGAAATATTGTCGAAAACTCGTTTGGTCTCATAGCTTCTATATTTAGAATTCTGCATACCGCTATTAGTGTGCGCCCTGAGAAAATAAACTATATTGTACTAGCTATATGTGTTCTTCATAATTATCTCTTAAGTTCTAGGTATGCATCTGGGACTGCTTATGATAAAGATAGGACTGAACTATTGGAAATAAATAGGTGCCAAAATGAATGTGATTTAACTGCTTCATTTCTCAATAACAACAGGAATGTATGCCTAGAAGCAAAAGAAAACAGAGAAAAATATCTAGAATATTTTAATGGTGTAGGTAAGGTAGATTTTCAAGATGATATGTTAAAAAAAGGAAAAGCCTAAATATGTATTTTAAACAATAAAGATTAAATATAATATTACCTTAGCAACATCCTGTGTTTCCTTTATTTGCACCTCTTCTTCTATGTCGGAATTTTCCTCTACTGTCTCATTTTGCGTTTCTGTCTCTTTCTCATTTTGTATGTCTAGAACAGTATCAGAGTTTTCTTCATGATCCATGTTTGAGATACTATCAGAACACGTCTCACTGTCTCGTGTGAATAGTAGGAGATCAAAATATTAAAGGGATGGTGCATAAACATCATCTTCAGAAGCGCCACTCCTTTTGGATTGTTCCACTTTTTTTAATTCTTTTCTAAAGCAGCTTCGTATAGACTGAATTTTTTTACAAACAAAGTTCTTATCAGGGATTTCTATAACTTGCTTACACAACTCGATTAATTCACGGTGACCTTTGTCTTTCAAATTTTTATTAGTATAATCCTTGCTTTTTACCATCCAGAGCGCTGGATGTTTTCTATATATTTCTATAAACTGAGTTAAAATCTCCTTACTCCAAAATCTGGTGTCTGCCATTGCTAACTTTGGAGTAAAACAACAACAACGCTCCACAGACGCACAAATTAAGTTTGCAAGAGTAGACTTGTTATTTTGGACGTCGCGCAAGGCGTGCATACCTAGCGCGTGGGCAATTTCGTCCTTAACATACGAGTTAGATCCGCGCGCCTGATATGCAACGAGCCAAGACCGTTCAAAAGTACCTGTGTGTGTGGCCGGCTATTGAAGAGCTGAAACTAAAGCAGGACGTTCCTACTCGTTGGAATAGTACACAGGATATGTTCTCCAGATTTTTGAAATTAAGGGAACCTTTAATATCAACCCCTGCTATTTTAAATGTTCAACATAGGAAGCCAAACCAAAACGACTGGAATATAATACAATATTGTTGTGATGCATTAAAATATTTTGATGAAATAACAGTTCATATTAGTTCCGAAAAGAACGTTACTATCTCTAAAATAATTGTTTATATTGCTAGACGTTTTACCAATAAAAATATTGAGAACATACCAGTAGAATGCCAGAACATGGTAAGAGTTCTTCAAGGCCAAATTAAAAAAAGATTCCAAAACATTGAAATGAATCTGATACTGGCTGAAACTACATTTTTAGACCCTAGATTCAAAAAATATGGGTTTTAGAGTGAAGGGTGTTATGAAAGAGACAAAGTATCTATAACAGAATTATGCTCTAAGGCAGCTAAGGTCCCACTTTGCGAAATTGAGATCAATATAGAGGCACAACCAGCTGAAAAAATGCAACCTGAAAAAAAGTCAATATGGGACGAATATGACCAACAAACTTCCCACCTCACTAGAACACAGAATGCCACAGCAGCTAGCGTAGTTGAAGTTAACAGATATATTCAGGAACCTCTGTTAAAACGCTCTGAAGATCCATTACAATGGTGGTATAAACCGAAGGAAATTTATCCAAGACTGAAATTATGAAAAAAAAAAAGTGTATTGTTGCTACATCAGTGCCATGCGAACGCGTTCTTTCCAAGTCTGTACAAATTATAACCGAAAGACGTTTTAGATAGATTAAGCCCAAAAAAAGCTTCTCAGCTTGTGTTTTTAAACTTTAATTTAAGGTTTTTGAATTTGCAATAATTTATTAATATTTTAAATATGTTTTATTACCAGTTTCGTCCAGAATAGAGTTTTGTTTTTGTTGTTTTTTTTATATATCAATTTTAATACTGATGTTTACATTATTTAATACTTTGACTTTAAATAATTTGTTTTCTATCTATTATTCTATAGGTATTTAACATGTGACATAAGGATAATAAGAATAAGTCAAATGTATTTGTTCCTTTTTTTAGTTTAGTTCAAACAAACTAACAATCTGTGTTATTTTTACAAAGAAATTTTTGTTGATATTTTAGCATATTTGTGAAAATAAATATATTTTTTATGATAATTATACAGGGTGTATCAACGATGCGTGGGTGAACGATAGCTGCTTCCCTATATGAGATAGGAAAAAATGCTTCAAATAAAAGTTGTAGAGGGCATTGAAAGCTACGTTCCAAAAATAACTACCAATATACAGGGTGTCTGATAAATGTATGAGTTATCGAAGTAATGTTTTTTTAAAGGAAACACCCTATATATTTTTACTCGATTAAATTTCTTTGGAAGAGTGTTTCTCAAAAATATAGGGTTGTATGGGTTTATACTGGGTGGTTAGGAATTTATGGTGGGATTTAGGTAACAAAATGGGTTTATTCAACATCAAATATCTCTAAATCAATAATTTGGAATAATTTTTTTTTTCTGCCGAATATTCTCGAAAATAGTGTATTTTCATTTCCTATTCATAATTTTACCGAATGGCGCTTTTCCCATACAGGGGCAACCAAAACTCGGGACCACTTTTTTCTCAGTTTTTTCAAATGGAACACCCTGTAAATGAGGCCATACCAGGATAGCCCATACCATGAGCTTTCAGAAAATGTAGGGTTTGCCTATTTGATTTTTATCGGAAATGTATCTAATTCTTAAGGAAAGTATAAAAAAGTTATAAAAGCAATAACTATTTATTTATTATAAAAGAACAATTATTTAAAAAAGCGTATGTTCACAGCAAATGTTTAAACAATCTCACATTTTAAGCTATGCCCGAATTAATCATATCTACAATTGCTCTTCGAACTTTCATTAAAGTTGATCTTGTAATACAGCCAAAAATCAAATCACCCTTGAAACATTGGAACGTTATAGGAATTTGACATTTAATTATCGAGGAGGAGAATAATTTATAGTTGAAATTTAATAATTTTTCGCTTCAAAATGAAATTATCCACCGAAGAAATGATAAATATGATCTACATTTTGGGTGAGTGTGATAGAAATTGTTTATTAGCCAGTAGAATGTATGCAGTTCGATACCCTGATTCAAGGTCTATACGACCAGAGACTTTTCGGAGGGTTAAAGAAAGATTTGACAAAACAGGCAGTGTCAAGCACGAGAAAAGGCAAGTAGTAAACAAAATTGCAACAAATGAAGAAACTGAATTAGCGGTGATCCTTTCAACAGTAGAGAATCCTCATGTTAGTACGAGGGAAATTGCAAGAGAGCTGGATATAAGTCACACTTCCGTGAACAGAATATTGATAAAAAATAAACTTCATCCATACCGAATTGAATTACATCAAGAACTTTATGAAAGGGATTATGACACCAGAGTTCGCTATTGCGAAAATATATTGAATTTCATTCGCGAGGAACCAAATTTTCTAAAATACATTTTGTTTAGTGACGAGTCAACATTTAAAAGTAATGGAATAGTAAATAGACACAATTGCCACTACTACTCAACAGAGAATCCACATTGGGTCAGAGAAATTGATTACCAAAATAGATGGTCGATAAATGTTTGGGGGAGCATAATTGGGGATCAGGTTATAGGACCACATTTCTTTGATGGTCCACTGAATGGGGAAATTTACAGAGATTTTCTCCGAGATCATTTACCAATTTTGTTGGAGGATGTACCTATTGACACCAGACTCAGGTTATATTACCAACATGATGGAGCGCCTCCCCACAATCAAAATGATCTCTGGGGATATGTTAAAGGAGAGGTCTACCGCGAAAAACCAACGACACCAGAAGACATGAAGAATAGAATTAGAGAAGTTTTTCACTCTATTATAAAATCAACTTTAATTGAAGTTATAAGAGCAAATGTAGATAGACTTAATTTGTGCATAGCTCAAAATGGGAGATTATTCGAACATTTGATGTGAATTTATGCTTCTTCGAATTAAATAAATAAATAGTTATTGCTTTTATAACTTTTTTATACTTTCCTTAAGAATTAGATACATTTCCGATAAAAATCAAGTAGGCAAACCCTACATTTTTTGAAAGCTCATGGTATGGGCTATCCTGGTATGGCCTCATTTACAGGGTGTTCCATTTGAAAAAACTGAGAAAAAAGTGGTCCCGAGTTTTGGTTGCCCCTGTATGGGAAAAGCGCCATTCGGTAAAATTATGAATAGGAAATGAAAATACACTATTTTCGAGAATATTCGGCAGAAAAAAAAATTATTCCAAATTATTGATTTAGAGATATTTGATGTTGAATAAACCCATTTTTTTACCTAAATCCCACCATAAATTCCTAACCACCCAGTATAAACCCTTACAACCCTATATTTTTTTCCAAAGAAATTTAATCGAGTAAAAATACATAGGGTGTTTCCTTTAAAAAAAACATTACTTCAATAACTCATACATTTATCGGACACCCTGTATATTGGTAGTTATTTTTGGAACGTAGCTTTCAATGCCCTCTACAACTTTTATTTGAAGCATTTTTTCCTATCTCATATAGGGAAGCAGCTATCGGTCACCCACGCATCGTTGATACACCCTGTATGTAGATATTATTAACAGACATCCTCTTCCATCCACAACACTCCTAGACTGCGAATTGCATCCGCGCCAACACTCCGCCAGTCTCTGAAACCGATCAGGTGCTACGTCATGCAATTTATTATTTTTTGCATTTCGCACATCCCACCCATTTTAGTTTTTCTATGTCCCGCCCTCCGGCAGTATACACATGTGTTTCGTATTTCGTACTACCACACTATTCAATTGGAAATATTTACGTCCAATAAATAGTATTTCGTACCAATCGAACCATCATACCGAGATCGATTTGAAATGTTATACTACTACCAGAGTTCGCATCTTTTTCTACCGACTAAAGCAACCAACGAACGAACATGATTTTGCTGATTCCGATTTTACTTGTCAAATTCGTCATTGAACAAAATATTAGATCAAGAACTTTCGAATCACATGAACGAATCGTTTCAAATCCGATGATTCGTATGTTCCGTATCAGCACATTGATCCGTATAATTTATACGAATGGTACCGATTCGAGCCATCTCTAATATAATTTTTCAGTTACTTCCTCCGGTGATTGGTTTTCTAGATTAAAGTTGAAACTAATAATATTTTCGCAATTTTTCCCTAAAATGTATGTTATGTGATTTTATTAAATCACATTAATTAATAAAACGTTCAATTCTACATTTAAATATATTAACACTCTCTAATCTTATTTTAATTACGTTGAATAAATTTCATTTCAAATTCAAACGTAGAAATATCCTTCGAATAAAAATTCACCTAGGTATTCTGCTATCGTCTTGGCCAAAGACCGGTATAAAGAATTACGGCTTTTGTGAACCGTTCGCCATGGTATCTACATGAAAAAATTAATTGTAGCTTACTATCTTATAGTTATGTTCAAAAGGAAAGACTTGTATTTCGTGCAAAACTTTTTAATTAATAAATGCAAAGCGCTTTCGGCTTATTAGCCATCATCAGTGCTTATTGTCCACAATGTATCCAACAAGTTCCTGGTCATCCTCACTCCCAGAATTAGATATTTCGGGTTATTTACAACTTGCTAAATCATATTATTAGTATTATTAATATTTTCAAATTTAAATTTCTTTATCTATTCATTATTGTCACCACTGTCATGTGGAAACGGTTAAACAACTTGAATAAAAATAAAAATGAGTAGGTAAAGAAATTTAAATTTGAAAATAATAATACTAATAATATGATTTAGCAAGTTGTAAATATCTCGAAATATCTAATTTTGGGAGTGAGGATGACCAGGAACTTGTTGGATACATTGTGGACAATAAGCACTGATGATGGCTAATAAGCCGAAAGCGTTTGCATTTATTAATTAAAAAGTTTTGCACGAAATACATGTCTTTCCTTTTGAATCTAAACTACGTGCACACAGCTGTCAACCTTTTTTGGTTATTTCAATTATAATTATGTGTTTAACTATTTATAATAAAATGTATCTCGTGTCGCGTTGAAAATTTTGTGTGAACTAAGTGTTCCCAATGGCTCAAATCAGTGGCTTACCATTGCTCAAATCAATGAATCACCATTGCTCAAATCAGAGGATTTTCTTTGGCTCAAGACCCACGCTCAAATCAGTGGCTCACCATTGCTCAAATCAGTGGCTCACCAATGCCCAAATCAGTGGCTCACCATTGTTCAGAGCTCAGGACACACCATTACTCTTAGGAGAATTAACTACCGGCTCAAAACAGAGGACTTACTATCTTCTTGGAAAAATATCTAGCCAGAGAACTGCTGCGTACTCAGAGACCTCCTCAGAGACTCAAGGAACAAGAATGACGCAGGGAAGTACCCCACCTGCGAAATCTCGAATTCTATTAAATTGACCGATGTGCACTTATCAATGGCAATAAACTGATTTTTAATTTAGTTTTCATCATATCATTTCTTGTTCCTCCTTTAAATTTTTCAGGTAGACAGAAGAGAGAATGTTCATAAAGTGATTATGTTGTCCCAAGACTGGATTTCCAATTTTTCCCGCGATTATCATAATAATTGTAAAACATATTGGTGGCGCTCAAGGCAAAACTATCTTTTCTTTGGCCCCTTTTGGCACATATGTTGTTTAACTATTTTATCTTCATTAATTTTATCGATTATTATTAATTATCAATATTGTGAACAGGTCTGAACCCGAGATTAGGAGCGGTTTTTCTTGTCGCAGCGCTTTTTATTAGCTGCGTAGTGTTTCAAATTATGGCATTTTCATGTCGAAATAATGACGTCACGCTCAAACGCTTAAACATGTGGTTTAAAGCGGTCTTGGAGTAGGATTTGAAGCGTTTTTATACTGACAGAAATGAGAAAGAAGATTCTTATAACCTAAAACTTTTAATTATTTGTTTATTGTTTATAATCTGATTATATTTTAACAATTATGGATAACAATATGGAAATGATGAGTTTAGAACTTGCAGAAGGTATTACAGTTAACGTCGACCAAGAAACAGGAGGACAATTGCTAGAAGGTAATTTGAAATATTTTTTTTATACAACAAAGTAATTCGTTTACATACGTTTGCAGATCCAACATTTGCAGCATCTTATTTAAGAATGGTAAGACAGGCACTCGAAAGTGAACAAGAACAAAATGAAAATATCACTGAATCTGCGGAAAACAAGGTGTGCACACTCTGGAAATCCAAGTATCCTGGTAAATTGGATCATCAGGCTACCTTAGCTTTTTTAGCACTGAGAAAAAGTTTCCACCACCAGTTCAATGACAAAAAGATTCCCAAAAATAACCTTTGGTCAAAAATTCGAGACAAAATGAACGAAATGGGATATTTCTGGAAGAGAGAAATGTCGCCAGAAATTCTCCAATTTGCAGAGCTCATATTTTAAATATAAAGATAAACAAAGAAGAACTGGTGAAGGTAAAATAGATAAGCCTCCTTATTATGATGAACTTGAGAATATCTTGGGAGATCGACACAATGCACAACCACTACTTGTGATTGATTCAACAGTGGCGTCTACCAAAACTGATTTTTCTAAGGAAAGTTCTTCTGAACTCAACTTACTAAATTACATTCCTAGTACTTCTCAATGCAAAACAAAACCAACAACCCATACTGGCATGATCTCAAACAGTGAAGATGATGAAGTAGGATCATTTAGCTATACAGTTAGCTCTCCTAGCACTTCAAAATTAGGAATAAACCGATTTGCACATAATAAAGTAACTGTAAAACCCCCTACACCTCGAAACAAAGCATTAGATGAACTGGTGCAAATACAGAGAGAGAATCAGAAGGAAAGACAGAATGAATTCAAAGCTATGACGGAGTTATTTAATAATGAAAGTACTAATAGGCACCAGGAAATGATGGCGTTGTTGTCAAATATTAAAAATAAAAACCCGAAAAGAAAAAGAGATGACTCTGATAGCTCGGACTAGAAACAATTTTTAGTTTTAATTTTTTTAGCAAATTTTTTTTGTGTAGGTACCATCTCTCATCATTTCAAATACCTGTTACTTATAGTGATTTCAAGTTTATTTTTAATATTTTGATTTTAATTTAATTTTCACAAATATAGATGGTATCTAGTAGATAGTAAAAAGAAATGTGCAGTCGCACTTTAAAAAGATTGTTTAGTTTAAGAATTATGTGATTATTTTTGGCTGTTACTGTGTAAATACAGGGTGGAAGATTTTAATATATCTGTAATAATTCATTATAGGTACAATTACATATTAAAATTATTTTAAGTAACAGGGTGTGCCATTTTGTGGTGGCAGAACAAAGTTATATTTTTTCTAATGGAATGTGCTATATATTGTTTCATTTTTAGATTGTAGGTAAAAAAGTTTTTTAATGTATGGTATATTACATTTTATTTTAAAATTATTAGGTACTGTGGCTACTATAGACCTTCCAAAATCATGTTTTTTAAACTTTTATTCAATGTTTTGTTCAAAATTGGAAAAAATGACTTACTTTAGGAACTAAAATAATATTCATTGTTAGAAATGTATTTTATTTTTCTAATAAAAATATCAAAATAGACTATTACAATCTTCTTGCAATCCTATCTCTTTTTAAAACTGCCGGTGCATGTAAATTGTTGCCGTTGTGGGGTTCATCTTCTTCATCATTTCTGTCATACACTTCATAATCATTCCACACATCCAAATTTAAATAACAAAAATTGTGCAGAATTCAGCAGGCTGTGATAATCCTTACAGACTTTATTATACTGTTTACATTTATAAATTTTAAAATTCTCCACCTTGATATTAAGATCCCAAATGCCTGTTCTACTACGACTCTTGTTCGGCTGTGGGCCCGATTATAGCGTTGTTGAGTGATAGTTAAATGAGCGTTGTCCCTAAAAATAAAATTGTCATACGGAATATTTTTATGAAAGCATTGATATTGTATCAACTGGGGTGTATTTTTTAAATTCCATCCTATTGCAATACATTTAAATAAACAATACCTATAAGGTGTCATCAACCAATGATGTAAGGGGTATGCTGAGTCACCTACAATGTGGTATTGATCCTCACAAAAGTATTTGACAGCATTTCCATAATTTTGCACTTCATTATAAAGTTGAGAGTTTCGAAATACCTGTAAAACAAGTTTTTTTTTATAGTAAAGCAGACATACATTTTCAGATACATTCTCCAAGTTCAGTTGCAATGACAATAAAATTTATTTAATTCCAATTATTGACATTATCATTGAGAGTGTACAGTATAAAATTACTTTTATTTTAAATGAATTGTAAACAAGTACTGTACCTACCCGACTATCGTGCACCGACCCTGGGAATCCAACCATAGTATTTATAAAAATCTTTTTCGAAGTAACAACAGCTTGAAGTTTTATTGAATGGTGCATTTTCCTATCAATATATTCACGTTGATGTTCTGATGGGGCTTTAAAGTGTATATTGCAAACATCTATTGCTCCAAGTACACCTAGAGAAAAAAAAAATTTTACAGCAAATATGTGTACACAACTAATCAAAGAAAAAACTGCATTGCACAAAGCTTAAAAATCTTACCTGGATACCCTGCTAATTCTTCGAAAGCTCTGGCTACAGTAACACATTCGTTTCTATTTGGCCAAACTACGTACTGTTCTTGTAAATTTAAAATTCTACTCAACATAAATTCAGTTGATTTATAAACTGTTGAGACAACAACATTAAACCTGTCAGCGATAGTTATCAAGACCTCTCCTTTGCCTAACCACCACAAGGTCATTAATAGCTGTTGATCAGGAGAAATTGGTGGTTCTCCACCTCGGAACAACCTTTCATTTACAAGTAATTTATTTAATAAAATGCTGAAAGGCTCTTTATTCATTCTAAAGATAGAAAAGAAATCGTAATCCAAGTAATGGGTTAACCAATCAACATACCCAGACATTCGGATATGATCCATATTATTAGAAATTAGCATAAATCTGGTAATGGAGGATTCGCTTTCTTCAGAATTTTTTCTGGCAAACCAGTAATTTGACATAAAAAAGAAATCTTGCATTTCACGATGCTGTTTAGCAATAAAACTGGAGAGTAATGTTTCTTCCATAATAACTAAATACTACCTACCCAGTACAAATTTAACATGTGCCAACCAACTTGAAAACAATGAAAACATTGAAAACCCATAAACATAAATATAACCTATTCTATGACATTTGGACTTTTGACAGTTTTGACTAGTGCTGCAAACATGTGCATTTTCGTGTTTGTTCTAATGATGACGTCACAAGTTAATGCGCTTCAAACAAGAACTCTCATCGTATTAAACAAGAAAAAACGCTCTAGGTTTAAAATAGGATTATTACATCAGATCAAAATAATTACGTAACACCTTTAAATAATTGCGTAACATGTATTCTCTAATATTTTTGGAATTGTGAGATTTGGTAATAGTGTATGACCTAGCCAACATTTCTTCCCTTTTGTCCACTAAAAATGTTTGTTTTTTTTTCAGATATGAAATTTTACGTTTGCAGGTGATGATATTCATTTTTTCTAGCACTTTCTTTTCCTCTAGTTGTTTTTGCTTTATTATTATTTCTTCAATTTCCTGGTTTAATTCTTCCATTTGTTATTCTACTTCTGAAATTACTTTTTCGTTATCTGAAATTAAGTAATTAATAAATTAAGTAAGTAAAAAATGTACCGGTCTCTTTAATTGAATGGAATATTATATAACTGAGCTCTATTAAAAACGTTTTCTATAATTTTACCATGAGATCCAAGTGAGGAACTGTAAACTAGTAAATTATCAAAATATACTTCATAACCTACAATGCCATAAAAAATTCTGGTCATATATTGTTGAAATACTTCTGGCGCACAAGAGAGTCCAATGGACATGTGCAAATACCGATATTTTTCCAAATTTCCTACACTGAATGTACAAAGTTTTGAGCTCTCTTTATCTAATGGTATCATTGCAAATCCTTGAGTAGCATCCAGAGTGTAAAAATATCTACAATTACAAGTTTTGAAGTTATTTTATCTAAAGTAGGTATATGCCAAAAAAAAATATTTTTTTACTGGTCATTATTATCTTTCTGGTCTAAACAAACACGTAAAGACTCGGTTTTTTTTCTTACAATAACGATTGGATTTAATTTATCCTCGAGTGCAAAAGTGCTGCCTTTGACTAGCGGCTGGTTAAGTATTACGTATGTCTCTGATAGTAAACAATCACTATTATTTTACATAATAAACAAAAAGTAACTCACAGTAAGCTTTCAAAATAATACACATAGTGCATGTTTAGAAAATGTGTAAAATCATGACTTATATTTTCAGCTTTTATTTGATCTTAGAGCTAGATGCATTAGAGACTGTTTTTTTACTCATATACATATAATCAGAGCAATTTAAAAAGCACTAGTAACATGACCTACCTAAGTTTGTGTGCTTTAAACCAGTATTATTTGTTAATTTTTGTACATCAACATGAAATGAAGTCGAGAGGCATGAAAGGGGACTGTAAAAGCGTTTCTGGACAATTCATTTTGTTAATTTTGTATAAGGTTTGCAGCAGCTACAAAATTTTCGTTTTCTTCTTCTCTTTGTAAAAGAGTTGTAGCTAAAACTAAATCTAAAATATATGTTACATGCAATTTGCTAATAATAGCGTGTGTTATTTGAATAAAATATTAAATGTATTATTCTTACACCCTTGCTTATAAATTGAATCATATTTCTAGTCTAAAATATGAAATTTATAATAAAGTTGCCTTTCAAAGTCAAAAAATTGAACTTCCTTCATTTTTATTATGAGTTTTAACATTGTTGTCACTGGTTTTAACACAAAAAAAAAATGAAATTTGATGGAGGAAGGATGGAACTTTAATTCTTTTTATCTTCTTGGAACATAATCCTAACCGGCCTAACCTTACAATTTCAGATTAATTTTTTTCGTCCAGCGAATAGTTTCGAGCGAATTGAGCTTGATCTGATACATCTAGATTTAATTAACGAACGAATATTTTGACCTTCCCTACATCTAGATGTAATAAACGAACGATGCAGATCAGTCTGAGCGCTCCAGATATAATTGCCGAATACACTTATAGAAATGTGATAGAAACTCACCATTCATTGACCGGTGTACCTCATCAGCAAAGTCAGCGCTTTGCACCTTCACGGCAATGAACCCGCGGTTATAAATACGTTGTCAATGTGGGAATTAATGTTCTTTTTATTTTAATCCTATAACGATAAACATTGTTTTACATAATTATTTGAAATGATTAAGTTCCATTTTTGTACATTTTTAAATAAATAGATTGTTTTTTTTTGGAAACTTAAAGTGTTGTTAACTTAACTATACAAATGATCTCAGGTACAACATATTATATTTTTTAGCAACTATTACGTAGGTATTTTACACATTTGATTGACATGAGGTATAAAGAATAAAATTATCCTTTCAGAGATATTGCGTTTGACAACGTTGTCAACTTTTTTGCCAACTGTCGTTACTTTGTATCCATGCAAGTACTAAAGCGGTATTACCTGCGCCATATTGTTACCATCCTAATGTTATTTATTATATTTCCTCATAAGTTTTGTGATCATTGATCACTGCATAAAATGGTGCTTAATATATTGGCAAATAGCGCCCGACGTTGGACATGTCGCATTACCGATCTCTGCTATCGTATCCACAAAACACATCGTATCAGCGCTGGTAGCGGTTGGCCGGATTTAACGACCATAAAGATAGAAAGGACAGTTTAGTTGCATATAGACCGATCTTAATATATTTTTTAAATTTTTGAACAAAAAATTAAGAAGCTAAAAACACTTGATTTATTCGTCACAAAAAAAATAGCGCTGACAACATCCAATAAAAGTTAATAAACATCTGCGCTCAATTTTTCCTTCAACATTAGTCCAGCTGCCTGACTTTGT